TATCTGGTTTGTATGAGATTGTACGACTGAGCGTTGCTTAACGCCTACGCGCTTACTCATCCTTTTCGCTTTAACGTTAATCTCTTAATATCCCCATGAACTCACATGATTTGTATCACTTGCTTTTGACCTTGTCAATCATTCGTTGCTTTTATTCATGTGTGAGCATACCTATTTCGCTTGTCATATGTCTGTCTTATTTTTGGTCTGACTATATATTCTTAGTCATACTCTATCTCTTTGAGTTCGCTCTTAGCCTTCTCCAATTCGCTACGCTTTGTGGTGTGTCCCGAATAAACGTATTCATCACTTTGCGTTCATCTTCTGATTTATCAACCGTCAGACGCTATTTGCTAACGATTATCTGAACGAGTTAAATTACCGAGCTTAAGAACACGCATTAATTCGACACACTACAACTCCCTGAAGCTCAGCACGGGTTTCGGAAAGGCAGGTCGCGTGTATCTAATCTTCTCATCGCATGGGACAGTTGGACATCCTGCTTGGACCGTAAAATACCAGTGCACGTAGTATTTCTCGACTTCGCAAAAGACTTTGACACAGTGCCCCACGCACGCCTAATCGAAAAGGTTGTGGAAATGGGCTTCACTGACCCACTTCTATCTTGGCTCAGAAACTACCTTGAGAATAGAAAGTTTCGCACCAAGGTAAACAGAGTGCACGCGAGTTGGAGAGTATACAATTCGGGAGTTTCACAGGGGACCATACTAGGCCCACTCCTCTTCCTAATATTTATTAACGACCAGTTAGGCTCTGTTAGCTCACCGGCATTGATCTACGCAGACGATGCGAAGATCCGGAGGTCAATTAGAAGCGAAAAGGATTCGACTTAGCTCCAAAACGACCTTACATCTATTGAGTTATGGGCAGTGAAAAACGATTTAAAACTCAACCAACCGAAGTGCAACGTCACGAATTTCCTGCCTCACATGACGCAAACGATTTATACTCTCAATGGAAGTCCGCTCCCTACTGTCTCCTCAGAGCGCGATCTTGGTTTAATAACCACAGAAAGCCTCCACACCAGTCCAAACTACGTAGGGAGTGCAGCCAAGGCAAATGCGACTCTTCAATTTGTGCGAAGACAGCTTGGTGCTATCACCCCGAAATTATTTTTAACCCTGTTTAAGACGTACGCGCGCCCACACTTGGAGGTTCACAACGTCATCGCACCCCCTCTGCTTAAAAGAGACATAAATCTCTTGGATCGAGTGCAGAGACGAGCAACGAAATGGGTGATAGGGTTGAAAAATAAACCCTACGACGATAGACTCCAGCTCTTGGGATTATTTCCACTGAGCTACAGGAGAATCAGAGGTGATCTGATTATGGCGTACACCATATTAAACACGCCAAACCATTACCACGTGAGCATCTTACGGATGCATCATCACCACTCCCCTCGAGGCAATCCTCGAAAGATTGCACATCAAAGAGCGAATACTCAGATTCGTGCACACTTTTTCTCATTGCGAGTCGTCGCAACTTGGAATGCTCTCCCAGCCAAGGTGGCCACAGCCCCCTCAGTGGACTGCTTTAAGAAGAGACTTGATAATCACGTACTCACATACGGACTATCATCTCCCTCTTGGACAAGCTGTTCATGATGCATATCTTGTGACATGCTAGTTGTTATCATTGCCATCTCCTCAGATCACTTACTTAACCTATCTCGCCTATTTTTTTTGTTTCCTCTCCCTTGCTTACACTTCGGTCCTCTCTCACAATCTTCACTACCAATTAATAAACTAAATTCATCTATATATTACTCAGTTCTGAAATTTTATTCATATTAGCATTAGAATTTTATCCTTATTACCCTTATTACTCTCCACATTGCAACTAACTGATCTCCGGTTTGGTAATGTGACGGCTGCTAGTATCCAGAAACCCTACTGCCCTGAAACAAACGTTTCATTCAAATCCCGAGACATACAAACTCACAACCAACTGCCAACTGACTAGAATTAGACAGTCGAGTGGCTAGACCTCCATCCATTGGACATTACCGAACATCTGGAACCGTACCGAAAGAACAAGAATCGAGCGCGAAGAAATCAAATTGGTTTACACTAGCTCGTGAAAAAGATATTGGATATTGGATAGGTCAAGGATTGTTCGCTTTGAGTTTTTGCGCTTCGTCAAGGTGTGTTCGTGTTTTCTTCTACATCTACCCCAATGCTGTTGCTAAAGCAATTTCATGAACAAAGAAACTTACATTTTTAACTTGACTGTGACCTAGAAATATTCAGTATATCGTTTCCGTAATTCTCATTAATAAGATTAGATCGTTCCGAGACATTTGTATATATCGAAACATTTCTATACATGATCCTAGCTCGGAGAGCCGAGAAACGATAAAGGTATTGGTCTAAAGTTGTACTATAAATGGTCAGTAGTCTTTTGCACAGTAATCGCCACTAAAGTGTCAGACGACTGTAGGTTAAGTATTTTTTGGTGTGTGTGGAATTGTAGCTGTAGCCGGCTGCTCGAACTATATTTTCGCTGTAGAGTCGAATAATTGATTTTCTTACGTGTAATCGAAATCCAGTCTTCTACCTCCCAACGAACTAATTAGGAGCTGTCAAAATGTTGATCCTCATGGTCTAATAGCCGGGTGTATCTTATCGGGTTGATTCAAACTGAAATAGGTTTTCTTGTTTTTTATGTTCACGTTATTACTTTAAGTCTCATTTTATTAATCTTACTCTCTCTGAGTCGGTAGAACTTAGAGGTTTTCTGTGACTGATACTACCGACTTGAGTTCCCTGCTATCATCGTTTGTATACAGGATTATGACATTATTTGGCAGTTCTCAGGACCAATATTTGCTCATGATTAGTGAGAAAATTCTTGGCAAGCTCATTTGTAGTAGTTTGTCTCACTAGAATCCCAATATTTCACTTCCAAATCTGCCATACAGATATTCCATGTACTCTTTTTAACCATTAATCTAGATCACGAAATTCACTAAGATAGATCAGTCTTCACTGCCCATTATTTCACATATTGCTCTAATTCGAGCGTTAAAATTCGCTCATTATTGATACCTTCCGTCCCTGACATCCACTCAAGGCTTTACGTACCCACACACAGACTAAACTTATAACGGCTTGTTTATTACAGATGACTGAATATCTGCGCGGTCACTATCTCTTGGTGAAGACTGATCCTGATGGTAACGTAAAGGGTGAAAGGGCGCGACTTTGATCCAACTGTGAACCTTCTGATTACATTTCGAATGTATGTATTTGGAACTAAGGTTGCCGAGAGTGTTAGAACCAGACCACTCCACCAATCTTCACTAAAAGAGTTGAGTCGTTCTCGTTCGAATTGCAGAGCTTTCATTGAGTCTCGAATCCGTTCTTTTTGCGAGTATATCTACTTTAGAACTTTAATATGGTAGTTGTTCCCTAGGCTCCTTTTCTATATTGGAACCTTGATTGTCCATTCACATTATGATTGGGAAATCATCTTGCATAAACAGATAAATCTTGACTTTCTCCACTTACATGACTAATGAGGTCATTATCTGAAGTGACAGCGATATTTATTGTGTCCCGGTGATACAGACCGATGTGAACAGGGAGCAATCATCAAGAATTATTAATTAAGTTACCCAGCAAACCATTTTGCCAAACCATTCTCAATATCATTAATAAACGTCTGTTTATATGCGGGTTAGCCTTTCCGATTTTTAAGATCATAGTGAGGCAGACGGCAATTTTCCCCTTTTCGTTTTAGTTTCATCGTCTGGGAATAAACAACAGTTCAATCTTTTTCAGGGATTGTTTTACTAACAACCGACTTTTCAACCTCCATCTCATCACTGATTATAAGTTGTCTAGTGTTACCTGTTAGCGCCCCTTCTTTTTTCCCCCTTGAATTGTGTATCAGTGTTACTAATCATCACATATACTTTGAGCTAATATACATCTGAGTTTCCTTCGTGTTCTGAGCCTAGCTAGATGAAATCCCCAGTATCTATCAATTAAGAAGCTTGGGAAGTTCTTTAGTTTAGGTTTTTAATATATATATTCTCAGTGAGTAAATGGTTCAATCAAATTTTTCGCCACAGTTCCTTTATCAGTCAATCATGATATTATAATAGTATCTCATAGTTTCGAATGCAACTGTTTAGTTCTTTTGCTGTATATCGAGTTTATCAAACTTCCTCTCTTTGTGAATAGCTCCCAATTTAGGTCTAATAGCCCAGAAATACTCGACAGTGCGTAAATATCCTCTAAAAATAAAAAGACTGACCTTCTGCTGTGTAGTACTAACAGCTTTTTCAAAGTAAACAGTTGTTGATTGGTTCTTTGACTGGTAAATTAGAAAATATTGTCCTTAAATTACATCAAAATACAGTAGTTGTGTGTATCCTTACTGAATCGTTAAGTTGAAAGAAACAACCCTGAAGTTTAATAGTTCACGAACAGCAAAAGTTCTTGTTTTTATTTTATGGTGAAGTAGAGAAACTTGATCATGTGCTTTTATTAAGAAAACTTTCCGTATTTTAATAGAAAACCTTATAACACGGAGATTCCTGAGCATTTCGGAAAGGAATTTGTTTAGATCATGTGCTAAAGATATTTTTACAACCCACCAGACAGAAATATAGTGGCATTCACGTTAGATGTCGAATGAATATATATATTCCAAAATAAAAAATGTGTCGTCATCAAATTTTCAAATTTTTTCCTATTGATTGGTGATTGTTTACCGCATAGTATCTCCCAAAGAATATACATTAATATACCATTTTAATTTCTGTAGATACTATGTTTATCGTTAGGCTTATTATCTAAACCAGTTTCCATTCCGAAGTTTTTAAATATTCCTTACTTTGCCTATTTTAGATCAAGTTGCCGTTGTATGTTATTACCGCGAACACAGGCCAAGCTAAACAATGAATGAACCACTAATAATTAAAAGACTAACCGGTAGGCTTAAGGTGATTTCTCCCTTTGTTAAACCAGCTGTTCTTTAGTTAGTTACTGAAGCTATTTGGATTCGGTTAACTTCGTTCTTGATGAAAGTGTATGATAAAGTAGACCTGTTTTACTTCGTCAAGCTTATTTCGTACTTTGATGTGAATATAGCTGTTTCAGTCTGTTGCAGACTGTGCGTTCGATTACTGCATCGCAGATTTTCATCTCACTGTACGTAGAATTTAGGGAATTTGATAGTACTGTCATTTTATGGGTTACTGATGTGGCTCATATTGTTAAACGTCAGCCTGTTGATAATTACTGAATCTAGTCCATCTTTCGAATTCGATGGGAGCATGTTTCGTATTTCCGTAGGTAAATGTGAATTTTGTTTCCAATCCGAATCTCCAAGTATGTGAGGATCCCAGTATTATTTGAGTGTAATACTCAGTATATGTTTAGACCAATACGTACTGATTATTTACTAACCTTTAACAATAACCATTTTCACTCAATGGTATATTCGTTAAACTGTTTTGAATAATTGTAGCGATTCCTGTGAGTTTGGAGGAATGTATCACTCACTTTATGTATGCAGCGAAATTAGGAAAAAAGTCTGTTCTGATTTACAATGTACACCCTTTAATGGATGCAGTAATTACTTGATAATCTGTTTGTAATTTATTTCGGACCTTATAGAAGTCATTATTCGATTTCTTTAAACTATTTGGTGAAATAATCAGTCTTCGCTACTCACCGGTAAGTTTTCAGAATTACTTTGTATGATTAACTCTTGTAAATCCATTAGCCTGAGGCCCGATGTGCTTTCGAATTTAATAAGTCAGAATGTGTAGAAAAAATTCTAGCATCTCCAATGAATACAATTTATAAGTTCAACTTGAACAATATTAACATTCCTGGTATGTTGAAATTATATACTAGATTATTGTCATGATAACAGAATTCTATTTTTACACATATACAAAATTCCCCGTTGCTACTATTAGACATCACCACACCGAACTCTCCTTAATTCACGTCTGGTGTTTCTGCTACCCAATGTACAGAGTGCGATTCGGAAGGCAATGTCTCGTCAAACACAATCATGTTCAAGTGACACGTACTATCGTGGTAATATGTACACAAGACGACTCGTGATGAAAAGAAATTATCTCTGCGTTTATCAACTCGATGAAAGAACAGGCTTGTTTTCGGGAAAATAACCCTATTGTTAAGTTGGAGATCCACATATATGTGTGCTGTGTACCACATTTTCCACACTACACAGGTCACACTGGAACACAGTGGTCTTAATTAAGCACATTCAGAAGGATGTCCTCAAATAGTTATGTCTTCATCTGGGTGACCTAAAGGGTAGAGCATTTGACTAATTAGCATACATAAAACACTCATAATTCTGTGGCAGTGGTCCCTGTCCTGGAAGGTGTACCAAATTGAAGTACATTAGCCTTATACAGATCTCTCTACTTGAACACACGTACTGTGTGTCAGAGTGAGAGCTATGGGTCTTAACGGATTAATGGCTGTCGTGAACCTGTTAGCGGAAGTCGTAGGAGTTTACTCCTTGGTATGTGGTGTCGTCAGGGCTGTTCCCACTTTCTCCATTCCTGTTACAAAAAATTTTATCATAGACATGGAAGGAGATAGCGCCTAGAAAGTAAACTGACACATAGACGTTGGTTGCAGCCACATGTGTTACAAACACACATAGCAGGAGGTCAGTGTCTGTGTCGAGAGGTCTGGTAGGAAGGGGTAATTGGGGTCTCTAGGGTGGACTGAGCCATGTCGGTAGTTGTCGACTGACTGGGTTGGGATCCGCGAGATGATAATAATCGATGGTTAGAGACCCTGAATGACATAGCTCAAACCGTTTGCAATGGCGCCGGT